CCATATACGTCTGATTCTACAATATACATCTCATAGGAAACATGGTGGTGTGAGACCACCAAGAACATGGAGAAGATTGAAAATTCGAGAACTGAAATCCTCTAAAGACACTGCTGAGGCCTATAAACATTAGGATGCTCTGTGGCAGACTTCCATTCCAGTTTCCTCAGTTTTCTGGTAGACTACAAGTCTCAATCTCCCTTAGAATTTTTAAGTGACAATGTGTGAGGTGTGTGTGTGTGTGTGTGTGTGTGTGAGAGAGAGAGAGAGAGAGAGAGAGAATGTGTGCATTGTGAGTTAGTGTGTCTGTAAGTATATGTGATGTTAATTTCAGTACTTCATTCTCTCTTTCTTCATGCTGTAATGAATGGGGGCCTATAGTCAGGACACAGATAGGAACAAGCAGTCAGGGAAGAGCTCAGAGGGAAGAGGGGAGGTGACTTCTCTAGTTAATGAGTAGATGAAGGTTTCTATAGTTGCAAATCACAGAAACTAACTCTATCCTATACAAATAATTATTTATTAAAGGATATGAGCTCATACATGAAATCTCCTAGAAGGTCAGAGAAACAGTAAAATGTCTGCATCCATAAATAATGATAAAGTCATGCCACCAAGCTGTTCACTGGGAACATCATTTCATGCTACTGTGGGCCTGAGGACTCAGTCATAGCTCCAATATGGTGACTAATGCTGAGTACTAATGCTGGTAACCTCTAGCTTCAGGAGCCTGAGGTGACACTGCCACCCTTGTCATGATGGTCTCCTCCTCCTCCTCCTCCTCCTCGTCGTCTTCTTCTTCTTCTTCTTCTTCTTCTTCTTCTTCTTCTTCTTCTTCTTCTTCTTCTTCTTCTTCTTCTTCTTCTACTTCTTCTTCTTCTTCTTCATCTTCTTCTTCTAAATAAAATTAACTTCCAGTTTATTTCAACCAATGTATCCTACTGCAAATACTAAATCCACACACAGAAACAGTAGCTACAAGGGAGACTGGGAAGACAGTTATGTTTGTCTTCCATAGTGGAAGGCTCATTTTAAGGTCATAAGTCAGTCTAGCATAGGAACATTTAAAATGCTGAGTGGCAGAAACCTAGCAATAAGATGACTATTCTTCTGGTCACCTTCCAAAGAGAATAGGGGTTGACATATTTATTTGTCTGCATAAAAGTATTGACAGGGACAGAGGCCGAGAATGGCCTACAGTGAAATTAATTAATTTCAAAATAATCAAGGAAGAAGAAGTAACCAGTACCAAAGTATTAATTTGCTCTCTTCAAAACATATGGTCTACCTCTATTGTTAAAATGCACTCAAGTCATTTTAAATAAAATAACATGAGTTGACTGTCAAAAGCAATTCTCTATAGAGTCCTTCTGTAAAGTGATTGACTCCCGCGAAGTGTGTTTGAAAGTCCTGGTTGATTTATATTGGTTTACTCTAGGTAGGACACAAGAATTCAATTAATAAAATAGAAAGAAAAGGATAGTGGTTATTAAAGATGCAAAGAGTATCTGGTGAAGGATAAGGTGTCTTTGGCTGAAACTCATGACCTGTTTATATAAAAAGACTTTCTATCGGGCCCCTCTGGCGAAATACCAAGGATCACAGAGGCCCTGGGAAACTCAATGGTGGAAGAGGGAACCATCTTATCTTACCTGAAGGGTCATGAATTCAATCCCATTCAATGAATGAATGAACACCTAAACTCTATCAACATTTCTATGTCCCTTTGACATACAAAACACCGGCCAGGACTCACCACTGTGAAGACAGGCAGTTAACCCAGCCCCTGCCCATAAGGGAATCTGAGCTCTGTTTGAGAGATAAGAAAGTAGAACGGTGAGAAAAAGAAAAAGTTACTCTATGGCAAAGGTACAAAGTTGTATGGTGTACCGAGGCAGCAAGAGTTAAGTACAGTGTGGGTCTAGACAGGTGAATGGGAACAGACTAGGGACCTACAGAAGGTGACATACAAACCACAGGACACACATGAGAGTGGGGGAGGAGCAAGCGTGGCATTGGGACTATAGGTGTCAGTCGTGAATATCCTGGCCACCCTGACCTTCAGTGTCACACCATGACTTATTTCTGTAAGTCAGAAAATACTTTTGAGCCCAGCAGTAAGAGACATCATGGCGATGGGACACGAAGAAGGAAGAGGAGGAAAGAGTTGTAGGAGGAAGCCATTTTAAGAGCTAACAGAAAAAATAGGAGCCCCTGGTGGGGTGGAAGTAGTGAAGACATGAATTAGCCTAGGAAAGTAATAGGTGACATTATAGTAGGTGGTGGGTGATAATAGGTGATAATAGGCTGAGTATTTTTTAGACTATATGTACAAGTACAGGCCAGAACCCAAGCACGTTACAGAATAGAGTCTATGAAGAAATTCCAAGCTAGGCTACTGGGGATCCATCCTGAAAAGCCCTTTGTCTCTACAACATAGACCACAGGGTCGTATTTAACAACAGAAAGGGCTCCATGTTGTATGAATTATAGTATTTCCTGCCCCAAACTATGTTCCCTACCTTTCAGTCACCACTACCTGAAATGCCCCCACATCTGATTCACGCCTCTAGATCTTAGAGACTTCATTTGGCTTCATCCCCTCTCAACTGCAATTCAAATACCCGGGAAGGGGAAGAGCCTCACATCCTTATCAGTCTCCACTCAATTATGCTGCTCTTATCAGGAACTCTCTTATCTTAGCCAGCTTCTCCTTGCACCATCCTCATAGAATTAATCCTTTGTTCGTCTCTGCTCTCCCATCCTGGTTTCTAATCTTCTGATGGCAGAGACCGGCTGTGTATTTTTCATCTTTGGCATCTCAACAACTAATCCCATGCCCTGTATACTGAGTGATAGATATTAGATGCCGGATTTTCCGTGAGGAGCTGAGACCTTAAACATAGTCATTTAACCTCTAGAGCTTCCTTATCTCTAACCTATCTGCAAGAGGGAGGCACTAAAACCCACTCCGTGGGTTGCTAAGGGACTTGCGCTGGAACATAGCTGGCAAATTATAAGTCATTGTTCAAATACAAATCAATATTTGCAAAGAGTCAATGTAATTCCTGGCGAGGAAGTGTGTGTTGATCAGATGAAGGAACAAGTGTGCATCTCTTTCATGAACACCCTTTCTCTCACTCAGGAGGGGTCTTAAAATGCGACAGAGAACCAGAGAGGTGTTGGAGGCCTGCCAAGGATAATGATGTTGGCGTCACAGACAGGCATGTGTATCTGCTTCCAATGCTGAGGTTTAGAGGATATTTCAGCATGCTGTGGTTCTGGAGCCTTTCTCAGTGAGAGACATCAGTCATTCCACACTGCCAGACCCCAACTTCTCAGATGATCTCTCATCTCTGCCTCGTTGAGCTCCCTCCTTCCCTGTCTCAGACAGGGCTTGCTACTCCTATGTCAGCTGTGTGGCCCAGTTGCGATCTATTATTTTCCTTTACTGGGGTTTGGTTGCTTCTCTGGGTTTCTGCATCTGTTTCTCTTGAATCTTTAACTAAATATGTTTCTGCTGAGCTCAAAGTATTTTTACTTCTTTTCCTTCTAGCTCCCCAGCCAATTTTGAAGCCTGCCTCTCTAAAACAGTCAATTTATAAGTGGGTTGATTTGGAACATCCTTAAGCAAAGTTCATTCTCGTTGTTTCTATAAACCCTCTCATTCCTTTCTGTTCTCTTCCCTAAGAAACACCAACTCCATTTAGAAAAAAAAGGCACATACAGTGTAAGGGATGTGGAGATAAAGAAAGCCACGGAAAATGTGCTTAGTAGAATCATGCCCAGGAGCAGATGGTAGGACTGAGGGAAGGAATTCTGGCAACAGGGACTTCTGAGGCATCATCAGTCACCCCTAGAGGGGACAATGCAATAAAGCAGTCACTTAAGAGAAGTAACCTTTGCAGGAACATTAGAAATTAGGAAATAAGAAAGCCACAGAGAACCTCGGGTCAATATAGAGCAGATGCTTCAATCTCCAAGTTGCAGCACAGGATGCCCCTGGGGGACAGACAGCTCTGCACCTCCATATTGGCAACTTTGACTATAAACTGAGAGTTAACAACAAGGGTGGCCACATCCTAGCTCAAGTTAGTTCTCAGTCCATCTGTTACCATTTATATGGGCCAGTGATAGTTAGGAATTGAACAAGTTAGAAGGAAAATTGTTGAGCTTGGTTTGGGCCTTTTGTCTCCTCTTTTACTGCAGAATTGTCTGTCATGCACCTACCTGTACCACAGGAGCCTTTGGCAACAGCCTGGAAACATGTGTTTAAATTTTAGGTTCTACAGGAATGTAAAACTGTGTGTAAGTCTGATTGTCCAGAAATTGACAATCATTGCTATGCTGGTGAAGCCAAACCAGGGTGAAATATAATATTTTGTTCCAAAAGAAAACAGTTGGATCTAAAAAAGAAACTTAGAAGAACCAAATGAAGAGAAGAAAAGGAAAACTTATTTCTAGAGGAGAATCCCACACAATGAGTAAAGTGAGCCCTGGCTATCTTCAGGCCAATCACTAGCAAGGGCTTCATATCTGCAAATAATCTCTGAGATGCTTAAAGGGTGCCTGCCTGCTGGAGTCTGGGCAAACTGCATCAACCATGCACATGCATGGTTTGACTTCTTTCAGGAGTCAAAGAATAGAATTAAACCCCTCTTCAGAAGTAGACAAAAAACCAACAAATAAATGGCTGGTCAGGGGCATGGATAACTTCTCAGAATGCCAAATTCTTCATTTTACAGAAGGAGAGTAAGACTTTTGCTGTACAACACCGTGAGAATTAAGTATGGGGGTGTATTTGTCAATCATCCCACCCACAGAAGTAGGACAGCGTAGGATAATGAAGCACTAATGCCTGTTGATAGCAGCAGCAGCACTGATGGATAGGAAAGAGTGAGAGAGAATGTGGAGGAGGAAGAGGAAGGAAAGATAAATCAACCAGGTCTAATTTCTTGAAAAGTGAAGGAATAATAATTTTTATAAAAGCAAAAGGCAGAGTCCTACTTTGACAGCACATATACCAAAAACTGAATGATATAGACAAGATTAGCATGGCCCCTGCACAAGAATGACTTACAGATTCATGTAGTGGTCCCTTTTTTGTATTTTTTTATTATTTTTCCTTAGATGCCTGTTTGTTTTCTAATGAGAGACAAAGAAGAGGAAGATCCTTTTTATTTACAGCAGAAGGACACATGTTAATCAAATTAAGCCAGACACAGAACAATAAGTATCACATGATCTTCCTCTCCTGTGTGAAGTTTTAAAAAAATGAACTGAAATGAAAGAAAGAGGAATTATGAGGGACTGAGAAAAATCACTGAGGTTAAAGGAGGGTGGGAGGACACTATAAAAGTACCCATATAAAAATGTAGTTGTGAATCCCATTAATTCATGCAGCAAATGGGCATTAGTCATTATATATTTTTAGACTGAGTTTTGATATATATGAGTCTGTTCTTGCATGTAAATACATATACCATGTGCATGCTGTGTGCACACGGAGGCCAGAGAGGACATCAGGTCCCCTGTAAAAGGAGTTACAAATAACTGTAAGCTGTCAAGTGGGTTCTAGGAACTGAACCTGGGTCCTCTGCAAAAAAAGCCAGTGCTCTTAACAACTGAGCCATTTCTCCAGTCCTGATATCATTTCTAAAATGTGTAAATAAAAAACACCAAGAAAGAAAGAGAGAAAGAAAGAAAGAAAGAAAGAAAGAAAGAAAGAAAGAAAGAAAGAAAGAAAGAAAAGAAAGGGAGGGGTTCTTTGGTGAGAGCTTCTTTATAAGACTCCTTTCTCCTCTATTTTACATAAAGTGACTTTTTAAACATTCCAAAGAGATAGATGAGTGCTTACATATTGAAAGACATCCTTACTACCTTCTGAGAATGCTCCAGAATGTAGACATGCTAGTTTGTTAGTTTTAAGGCATAATTTCAACATACACCCCTGACTGACTTGAGACTCATTAAACAGAGCAAGCTAGATGGCCTTGAATTCAGGGAGATTGGCCCGACTCTGCCCAAGTGCTGGGATTGAAGGAGTGCACCATCACATCTGGCCATGTTCTTAAAAAGAATTATTCACAGATTTGATCTATTGCACAGATTGTCAAATCTGCTCCAATTCTATTCCAAAAGCATTAATGAGAACATACTAAGCACCAGGCATTATACTAAGTGCTAGACGTCTAAAAATAAATAAAGAGGAAGAAGGAGTTTGTGTCTTAGACGGAAAAAAAACAGTGCCAAGTAATGATGCCACAGAGGCAGTGCAAGCTGCAGCAAACACAGCAGTTACCTGCCTGGCAGAAATGGGGGCTCTTCATCAAAAATCTTCCTGAACTCCTGACTGGGAAGGGGTGAGGCAAAGAAGAGAGGGAGACCCACCAGTCAGGGTTGGCAGAGTGATCAGAGCAACAAGTATCCGGGTGCTCCTTTTGTGGGGCTGGGTACCTCCATACCCAAGCAACACAATACCTTACTTGCATACTAACTTGTGAAAACAATTCTTGACAAACTTGACCATCTGTTGTATCCAGGATCTGTAGTCGTATCCTTCTGTGAAAAATTGGCTTGTTTAAGCATTTCACAGTGACACTCATTGACATGTATCCTATTATTATTATTATATTTCTGGAACCATATTAATGTTAAACAATGTATCATGGTTATGAGAATTTCAATCTTGCTGTTGACTCAAGGTCAAGGCTGAAGGTAGGGAGACAGACCATTTGGAGCTGAGAATCACGTTAGCACAAGCATGGAGACACATCTTGGTAGTTTCTTGATGCATAGCTATGTTGGAGCAACTGCTGTAAAATAGAAAGAAAAAAACCTATCATTGATTATAGATACCCAGAAAAGGATATGAGGGGGAAAGGGTGGAGCTTTATTTTTGTTTCGTTTATTTTTGTTTTGTTTGTTTTTAGTATGCTTAAATGTATGTTTGGGAGCCCCATACGGGGAAGAGAAGATAGATTGTTTTACACAAAAATCAGCACTGATGTTTGCAAGTGTGATTTATTCTTTGCCCCCCCTGCTGTGGTGGCTATGATGTTACTAGTAGTGTGACCAGTTTAGGGTGAGAATACTTGGTGTAAACGTAGTGTTCATAAAATGTCTGGCAATTGTGTGAGTGAGGAGTCTTCATGATTCCAAAGCCAGTGGTGTGAAGTCAAGTGGCAGAGCCCAGAGCACCATGCAAGATTATACCTACCTTTGGAATTTACAATGTCCCATGGTGGAACTGGGTGAAGGTTACCAACCATTAGAAAAATCTATGCTTATACCAAGTGTGAAAAGACAAAGATGAAAGTGGAAAAACAAGCCTTTGGAACTATATCAGACATGTAGTTTACGTGAAAATTACAAGTTCAATACTCACCAAACCCCATACCAAGCAGCTATAGTATGTAAAAGAACAGGTATAAAACTGCGTGGCCCTTTGCCTTCACATTCAGATAATTTCAAATACATTAAAGAGAGTAGGAAATACAGTGGGAGTGGAGTAAACATTAACAAACATAGATGATGGGGAAGTCCTTCTGTGGACGTGTGCTTGTCTTATTGGTTGATTAAATAAAGCACTGTTGGCCAATAGGGAAACAGAGAAGTGGAACTAGGACTCGAGGAGGATTCTGGGAAAGAGAGGCACAGTCAGTCACAATGTAGGACTCTGGAGAAGTAACATGTTCGGACCCTTCCTCCGGTAAGAGAAGACCTCATGCACATACTCAGATTAGTAGTTATGGGTTAATAATTAAGTCAGAGCTAGCCAGTAAGAAACCTAGCAAATGACCAACAGCTTCATAATTAATATAGTGTCTTGTGTGTTATTTGTGGGATGAAACTGCTGCAGGGCCCAAGCGGCTGGCAGGAAGATTACACGTTATATATAGGAATCCTGGGGCTGGGGATGTAGCTGAGTTTGTAGGTTGTTTTTCTAGCATGGAGGAAGCCCTGGATTCAATTCCCCATATAGCATAAAACAGGTTATGGTGACATAAACCCATAATCTCAGAACTTGGGAGGCAGAGGCAGGAGAATCAGGAGCTCAAAGTCATCCTTAGCTTCACAGTAAGTTCAAGGCCAGCTTGGGTTAAAGGAATGAGTCGGAAGAGTGCTATGAAAATGAAAACCTTAGATTTGTGTCGTAAGTCAGTTACTTATTTGCTATGAGGACCCTGGTACAACTCACTAGGCCTCTTTTCTCATTTATAAAATAAGAGACTTCAAATACATTAAGGACACAAAAAAGATTTGAAATTAGGCATTGACTCTAACCACTCAGTACCATCTTCAGGGAGTTGTGATAACGTGGGTTCTAAAACTACACTCAGGTTCAGTGGGAAAGAGCCACCTTAGGTTGGCAACAACTATCATGAATTTTAAAATGCAAGATGTTGGAGGAAGAAAGCTGTACATATGCTATCCCTTTGAGCAGATGATAAGGATGTCTTACAGCTCTAAATAGAAGGGGCAGGTTTGTTTTCAGTCTGCTCACACACCTCCTGAGTATCTCAGGCATGATTGCCACTCCTGTACCTTACAATGAAGCTAATCATGGAAGCCCAACATTTATAGAGTTTGGGCTATTTCAGAAACACAAACCCATGTCCTTTAAGAATGCTACAAGACTGTGTTATTATGTAACTATACACCAAGTGCTACATGAGCACAAAGGGGAAGACAGCACTGCCTGGGAATGTGGTCTTCGGGACTGGCTTTGAAGAATAATAAGGGGTTTCTAAGCATCACATCACACAGATTTGCACACATGTGCAAAGTGTTTAGGAAGAAGCAGGGAGCCTAGTAAAGGTACAATACTGACAATACTGGGTTTTGCTCAGGAGTAAAAAGAAATATCCCTGGAAAACTAAATCAAGACAATTTAGCACACTCTTTGTAGGCCAGAATATAAAGGGAATGCTAATCAGGCAATGAGGATTCCAACAAGATTTATTTAAAGGAGACATAAATACTTGAAGTTAAATGAAAGTGTTCCATTCCTGCAAAGCCCAGTGAAGTCCAGATTGGGCAAGCAGTGCAGGCTTGACATTCTGCATCTGAGGCAAAGGTTGTATTTAGAAGACTTCTATATAATACTACATAAGAGAAGGGGACCAGGATTAAAGTCAGGGATACAACAAGGCTCTTTGGAAACAACAATGGCAAAATCAGGAAGAAGTAAATGTAAGAGAATTTCAACTTCCTGTGAGGGAAGGAAGCTTAAGTTGACTAGGAAGAAGTCCATGGAGAAAGTTGATGCTGAAACTGGAGGTAATGAATGACTGGTGTCCATGAAATCAAGCTGAGAGCAACTAGTAAGAGAATTCGTGTTTATGACCCTTTCTACTAAGTCATTTGCTTCTATGTATTTAGTACTTCATAAAGTAATGTGTATTCACAGATTTACCAAGTATTAGTAGGTTTAAGATTATGATGGTCCCCACCCTATGGGGAGGATGCTCTTAATCCCAGCACTCCAGAGGCAGAGACAGGCAGGTCTCTATGAGTCCAAGGTCTGTTTGGTATACAGAGTAAATTCCAGGATAGCCAGGCAGCTACACAGAGAAACCTGAAACCTCGTCTCAAAAAGCCAAAAAAAAAAAAAAAAAAAAAAGGACTATCAAGGTCTGCATTATTAAATTTGTTTTGTTTTTTGTTTTTTGTTTTTTGTTTTTTTTTACGAGACAGGGTTTCTCTGTATTGTTTTGGAGGCTATCGGTTCAGCCTGGCCTCGAACTCACAGAGATCCGCCTGCCTCTGCCTCCCGGGTGCTGGGATTAAAGGCGTGCGCCACCACCGCCCGGCCTACATTATTAAATTTAAGGACATTAAAAAATATTAAAGGGCAAGTTAGGTGACTGAGTGGGTAAAAGCTCTTGCTGCCAAACCAGATAACCAAGTTCAATTTCCAGGACCCACATAATTAGAAGGATAGAACTGACTTCTTGAAGTTATCCTCTGACCTCCACACAGGTACTGTATCACATGCACACACATACCTCCCCACCACACGCGCAAAAGTTAAAGAGGATTATTTCTACAGTGCAGAGTCTCTAATACATTATCAGTGTGCTTGTGAGTCCAGAGACCATGGG